CCTTAACCAATTTGTCGTTATAATATATCCATGTGCATTAATTTTCCTAACCCAACAATTTTTTGAAGATACCACAGGTTGTGTAATTTGTTCAATGTAGCGAAGTATTATTGACTGATCGTTATTATTTGCGAGAAAATAATAAATTATGGTTCTGCCTTCGATTCATGTGTCTAAAATTTCTTAAACGTCGAAACAACAACATAACCTCTAGCCAGAACTGCCAGCATGCCGGAAATCTAAAGTAGGACATACAAGCACCTTATTTTTTAAGGTTAACAAATATTTTTTATAAGACATTTAAATATGTTGTTTGCACATCAAATTAACAAAATAATTAATTAATATGATATTAAACTATAAAACTAAAGTAATATTGATAACAACGCAATATTTGGCTAACACATAAATGTTCGGACAAACCATTTCAATGGCTCCTTATGTCTCCCTTTGCTTTAATAACCGATAACAGCATTAATTCTGGCTTGCATAATTATTAACAAGGTTTTCGCAGTCTTCCGCCTTAAAAGAATCCCATATATTTTGTAATGTTACTCTAAATCAGCAATGTTTCATTGTGGATCATGTCTCAACTGCTGCTTCATTTTATGCCAAATAGTTTCGATAATATTCAAATCAGAACTACTGGAAGGTTAGTCAAGGACGGAAATATTATCCTGCAACCATTTTTTCGTGGTTTTGGCCGTATAGCATGACGCCCTATCTTGTTGAAAAATAAAGTTTCTACCAGGTGATAAAATTGGAATTGACATTAGAAAATTGGTTTCAAGGATATTTTTATATTTAGCTGCGTTTACAGTTCCGTATATGAAGTTTGCCAACGCCAAAAGCAGATATGCTTTTTCATACCATTAAACCTGGTGGAAACTTCACCCTTCACTTTAGGCAGTCTTTATGAAACGCTTCATTTTTGTTCCTTACAACCCGGGATCGGTGGTTACCCACACAAACGTCAAATTTCAATTCATCGCTAAAAATGATCTTACTTCGGTCTTCGCAAGTCCACATTGTCCGTTCCTTAATCCACGCTTATCACCTTTTCTTTTGTTTTTCGGTAAGCAACGGCTTTTCTTTTGCCTAAAGCAAATATTTTACTGAATAAATATGCCATACCACACCTTATAAAAATGTAAACCAGACTAGTGAATCCACCGACGGCACGTGATTAGTCAGACATAAATAGTGGTGTACATACATGTTTTATCAAGTTAAATAAATTAGTGCATTTCTTTTTGTGGAATCCGGTGTCTTAATCCACACCCAAAAGAACCCAGAAAAACGCATTTCCAGAAGTTTGATTCATTTGAAACTTCGCACACGATCAAGGACCGATAACAATGCAATATCAGCTCATGTCCACAAAAAAATAATTGATAAATCGGACTAAAAAATAAAAAATAAATAATAGTTTAAAAAACTGAAAAACGCGCTGTTATAGCTAACCGAACTAAAAAGTAGAAAATAATTTTTAATTACAAAGAGTTTATACAGGATGGGCCATAAAGGTGTTGGCAATTTCAATATTCAATTAAAAAACTACGCAATATAAAAGAAAAATAAATATATTTTTAAAAAGTAGAAAGATAGGAATTTTTAAGACTTAAAAATAATGTTCAAATGACCTCCTTCGGCTGGTTGGCTCTCTTGAAACCGAAGCTGCAGATTTTTGAAAACTCGTTGTTCTCGGTATTTTGTTACTTGCCTGAACAGTATTCCTCTTCAGCTGCTCTAAATTAGTTGGATTATTCTCGTAGACCACCGATTTGAGGTATCCCCACACAAAATAATCGCATGGAGAAAGATCAGGGCTACGTGGCGGCCATTCAATATCCCCCCTTTTCGAAATGAGTTTTTCGGGAAAGACATTTTTCAGCAGCTCTAAAGAGATACCCTATCTATATGACATGTCGCCCTATGTTATTGAAACCACACTCTAGAGGAGTTCTTGCAAAGCTGGCACTGTAAAGTCTGTTATATTGCAATAATTGTTAGCTTTCAACTGTCATCGCTCGTCCTCAAAAAAGTACGGTCGATAATACAGGTTGACGTAATTCCAGCCCACACGACTAGTTTAGGAAGAGGACGTTCATGCAAGCGTCGGGGATTAGTTTCGGACCAGAACCGACAATTTTGTTTGTTAACATTGCCATTGATGTGAAAATTAGCCTCATCACTAAACATCACGTTATTAAAACTGTTGAATCGGTCGAGCATCAAATTGACAAAGTTAAGTCGGTTATTGGCATAATATGGTTTTAATTTTTTAATTCTTGGACTAGTTGAATCTTATAAGCCTTCAAATGCAAATCACGCTTCAAAATTTGCCGCAAGCTCGTTTATTTGATGTCCAAAGTCTGACTTCTCTTACGTGTTGACTGTTGCGGATTACGCTTAAATTAAACACGAACACGCTCTACATTGTCGGCTGATCTTGCAGAAACTGGACGACCACAAGCTGTTATTGCTACTGTTGAGCCGGTTGTTTCGAACATTCTGATCCATTTCCGTATCACATTGGCGCTTGGAACTTCTCTTAAATCGCGTAAACCGTGTTCATGTCGATACAAACGTCGTGCAGTAATAACCGATTTATTGTTTTCATAATACGCTCCCGTGTACGGCTCCATGGCGACTAAATTTCCAGGCAACGACGCGGCTAACAGCTTACCCCCAACCCGCGCCCCGCGTTTTCGAGAAATTTAAGATTTAAATTGTCAACACTCTTATGACCCACCCTGTATTACAGTAGTAGATGGTCAAACAATCACTCATAAGTAATGACCTCAAAATAAAATTATAATAAAATTTAAGTTTGCAGGATAATTCAATTTAGAGTAAAAAACGTGGAGTGCATTTTGCTACATTCTCATAACTCTCCTCTGATAGATAGTTGCCAATAGAATGATTGTAACATTTAATATATCAAGCACCCCACGCTTTTTACTCTGAATTGGAATTGAATAATTATTCTGTTAATAACTTAAATTTTATTATAATAATTTTATATTGAGGTTATTAATAATGATTGATTGTTCGACCATCTACTATTGTATTTTCTACTTTTTAGTTCGGTTAGCTATAAAAGCGTGTTTTTTTAAACTATACTAAGTGACATATAAATCCGAACACCCAGTTTAAATGGTTTTATTTTAATAAAATCTTGTATAAGTACTTAATGAAGCATAATAAGTAAATGATAAAAATTTCAAAATCATTGCACTGCTTTAAAGCCCTTTGACCTTTAATGATGTGTAGATGCACCCTGATGTGCTACGCATCTCCAACGCGCCTAGGCATGCTTCTGATCAGGTGGTCAATGTCCTCCTGTGGTATCTCATTCCAGGCAACCACCAACTCCTCTCGGAGTGCTTCTAGAGTCTGAGGAGGACGTTGCAAATTGAGCAATCTCCTACCCATCATATCCCACACGTGCTTAATTGGGGATAAGTCGGGAGATCTTGGTGGCCATGGTAACAATGTGACATCATTATGTTGACAGAAGTCTATTGTGACTCTTGCAACATGTGGTCGGGCATTATCTTGTTGGAAAGTTGGATCTGCCAGGGTGTCAAGATAGGGTAAAAGATGGGGTTCTAGAACTTCGTGGATATAACGCTGCGCGTTCATGTTACCTCTGATGAAGATTAAAGGTGACCTGGAACCATAAGCTATAGCACCCCAAACCATAACTCCAACAGTGTGATGAACATGTCTTTCAACAAAAAACTGTGGATTCCTCCTTTCACCACGTCGTCTTCTAACCCTGGCACGACCATCGTGCATGCCTAAACAAAATCGAGACTCGTCACTAAAGACAATACTGTTCCATTCCTGATCCCAGAGTGACAGTTGTCTGCACCACTCAAGGCGATTACGTCGGTGTAAGGGTTAGAAGGCGACGTGGTGAAAGGAGGAATCCACAGTTTTTTGTTGAAAGACATGTTCATCACACTGTTGGAGTTATGGTTTGGGGTGCTATTATAGCTTATGACTCCAGGTCACCTTTAATCTTCATCAGAGGTAAGATGAACGCACAGCGTTATATCCACGAAGTTCTAGAACCCCATCTTTTACCCTATCTTGACACCCTGGCATATCCAACTTTCCAACAAGATAATGCCTGACCACATGTTGCAAGAGTCACAATAGACTTCTTTCAACATAATGATGTCACATTGTTACCATAACCACCAAGATCTCCCGACTTATCCCCAATTGAGCACGTGTGGGATATGATGGGTAGGAGATTGCTCAATTTGCAACGTCCTTCTCAGACTCTAGAAGCACTTCGAGAGGAGTTGGTGGTTGCCTGGAATGAGATACCACAGGAGGACATTGACCACCTGCTCAGAAGCATGCCTAGGCGCGTTGGAGAATGCGTAGCACATCAGGGTGCATCCACACATTATTAAAGGCCAAAGGGCTTTAGAGCAGTGCAATCATTTTGAAATTTTTATCATTTACTTATTATGCTTCATTAAGTACTTATACAAAATTTTATTAAAATAAAACCATTTAAACTGGGTGTTCGGATTTATATGTCACTTAGTATATTATATATTTGGTTTAGCAATATCCCGAAAACTCTTTCGTTGATGAAACAATTTTATGATTAAAAACTCTGATTGCACCGTTTTTTACCACGCGTCATTTTAAAGCAAATTGAATCCTAAATCAAAACGTCAAATTGTAAACACTTTTTTGTTTCCATGACCTGCTATTATTTTCTTTTTATTACCGTGTCAGCAAAATGTTGCGTTGTTAATATTAGTTTGATTTTATATTTTAACATCATATTACTTGAAAACAATTTTTTTAATATGATGTGCAAACAATATATTTCATTGTCTTATAAAAGAAAAAAAAATAATTTTTAACCTTACAAAAATAAACAAACTCTTAGATAAAATTGATATCCGAAAATTTTTGTGTTAGGGCTCGTATAATTACCTGCAATAGATCCTATATTTTTATTCCAGAAATGAATTTCTGGCAGTGAGAAATTCTGAAGGTGGTTTCTACATTTGTCAAGCTGTACAGAATATATACAAATCCTCTTCAAAAATAAAAATACGTTGGTTATCTCAAGACAAGGATGACACGACTGGAGAACTGTACACACCTGACTTTTACGACTTAACAGGTACAAAATACCAATGGTAATTTCTTAATTTACATTTTGCTAAGTGATATTTTTGCAGATTTCGATTGTATTCTTACTAGCCTAGACCTGCAGAGAGTGGAAAAGGGTAAATTTAGGTTAAAACCGGCTGAAAAAGAAAGAACTGACAGTATACTGAAGAGATGCTTAGCTGTAGAAAAGGGTGAAATTGTGCCACCTTCATTGTCAGAAGAGCACCCTGACGGATGTAAGTATGGATCTTTTTATTTACGTTAATGAATGTGCCAAATTTACCCAGAAAAATTTGTGTGAATATTTGATTACTGTATAAATAAGGTACACATGTAACTTTTTTTATACCTTTACCTGATTACTTTATGCAAAATCAGGGTCGTTATGTTTTAATCAAAATGTTTAAAACACTGAAGGTGTTTTGAACCATTTTTTTGTAAACTGTTTAAAACATGTTTTAAACAGTGTTTTTTTGTCATTTGTGAAGTATTCTAGTTATTTTTTTATATTTTTTTAACTATGATTAAAATTGATTTCATTTTGCAAAACGAAACTAAAAGGGCCATAGGTTAAAACACAAATCTGTTTCTTAACAAACGGGTGAACTTAATAAACTGCATTGAACTCTAATACTAGAGAACAATCATATAATATGACTATGTATTTACTAAATAAGTTACTTAACAAATTTCTATAAAAGTATACAATATGGGTTGTTAACAAAAAATCCTTAAATCCATATTTTTATAATAATTATAATAAAATCATGGAAAATGTACATAGAATAAATGTTTAGTTTTCACTACTTTTTACGGAACTCCAAGTAAAAAAATGTACCTTTTTCACAATTCTCCAAGCTACTCAACTTTTAGGAAATAGGTTCGGTAGAAACATCATCATTGTCGGTATCAGAACTATCTGAAATATGAACATTTTGTTTTTCTAACAAACTTCCTTGCTTAAGTTTTTTAGGATTTCTTAAAAGGTTGCGCATTCTAGCCACCAGTGGCACTATATCCATATTGCAGGTTAAACATTTTGCTCTTGTATTCATTTTCGAGCCAGTTTTGGCATCAGTCTCCTTAAAATATTTCCACACGGGATCCTTTCTCCTCCCTGTCATTGCCTATCTTTAATGCACAAAAACCAAAACACACCACCACGCTACGACTTTCTCTGCTGGAGATCGCAACGCGAAAAATTACCCAAAGGCAAACGGTACTTCCCCGACACATTAAAAATTATCGAACTGCAATTTTGTGGGAAAAACGGCAGAGTCCCTTCTAACCCCCTACATCTGTTTCACTTGGAGAAACCGGAAGAGTGATGCGTCGACAGATGACAGATGATTGTCGCTAAGGAATGTGGAAGTGTATACGAGGGACGCTCGGGAAGAACTCGGCCTATTTCATATTATTATTGGATTAAATTTGTTCTGGAAAAAATGTAATTCATATGAGTTCACGAGTGTAAGATGGTGATACACGCTTGAAAAGATGGGTTGTATGAAGATATATTATTATGTTTTTTTATTTTTATATCACATATTACTATGAGAACATTGTTTCAATTAACAGGATAATTAGTTGGAATCGTGTTTTAATTTTGGGAGGACGTTAGATCATCTGGAATATGTAGACGTTCTAACTTTACGCAATTCAACAAGTAAGAATAAATGACACTAAGCTGCTTAACATCAGCCTTTTTATTCATACAATGATCTGTCATGAAAATGTGGGTCATTTCTAAAATAGACGTTTTGAGAGTTGTTGCTCCTTGTCAAGAACCTTAATACTGCCATAACTCATAGAATGACCTGTGGTGTTAACATGTGATGTACCCTTCACTGTTGTTTAAATACAATTTCAGCAACAATTTCGCCGACTTACTCCAGACGATGAAGACATATATCGTCGAAAGCTTGAGCTTCTACCCAAAGAAATTCAAGGATATTTTCGCCTAACAGTTGAGGCAATTAACTATGAATACTCTATACAGGGTGACTTCGAAGTTGAGTCATTTATTTTAACAGTGAGTAGATCTGATAAAAAGAAATGTTTTTTTCCTTTACCATTTTTCTGGTAAAATTAAAGTAACAAAGTTATAGCCCTTTGGAAGTTTGAGTACCGCCCTGTCTCAATAATAATATCATGTACTCGTGTTTGGCAACAACGGATATAATCCGCCTTACCGGTTCATCGCATCGGAAACAAAAAAGCGAAAGAATTTGGAACGACGTTTTTGCAATTAAGTGTTTTATTCAGTTCAGTTATACATACAGTCAGTATCTGTCGGTTAGCGTGTGAATAGTTTCTGTTGCGTGGCTCAAACGAAATAAAAAATGGCACATGTTTATGCGGATCGGTTTCCCAATCGAGTGCAACCAACCCCTCGTGCCTTTGTTAATGTAGTACAACGGGCTCGTGAATCAGGTGACTTAAGACCTCACAGGGGACCTCACGATCAAATACGGGTCCGCACTGAAATACTTGTCGGGAGGATACTTTATAAAAGGTAAAATTTTTTTTTTAATTTTTTTTTATTTTTACACACATATTATGGTTTATCTTCCTTCTACAATCATTATCTGAAAATTAATGACTCAACTTCAAAGTCACCCTGTATATGTAGTGCTTTTCTTTAATGTCCCCTTCCACTCTGATTTTTTGAACCTATCAATTCAAAAAATAAAACTTGAGGTAATGAAATTGATGCGTGGATACCATATTTTAGAGTAAAATTGACAAATGAAAATGTCAAGATGGCCGTTGTGTTCAGTTTAGAAGATGCTGGAAATGGTTGCCTTGAACTTCTTGACACAATAACAGCCGTCGAACATTTTCAAACATAGTAACATCGATATTTCTACAAATAGTTGTTATTCTCAGCCGTATATCCAATATTGAAGCAGGTTCAGTTTCGTACACCTTTTGCTTCAAATAGCCCCATAAAAAAGTCCAAGGGCCGATTTCACCAACATTAATATTATGGACCAATGGGAAAATACCTTATCGAAATGCAATTTGACGGAAGCTGTCAAAGGTCTCTGAATATCAGTGATTTCTATTGAAATATTGAATAAAATCGTGAAAATTCGACTGTATTATAAACAAGACCACTTTTTGATTCCAATATGATGCTTTTGTACAGAAAAAACAGGACAACTTCCTTGTATTTTGATATATGTTATAGGTTTACATTTAACAATCCAATATCCCCCCTCAGCGAATGGAAATGCGGCAAATAATAGGTCGATTTTCTAGCTGTTAAATTTGGCAGCAGATTTGGACGTTTGTTAATGCATGGCACTCTCGAATATACCAACTTCAATACAACTGAAAGTTATCATTACATACCTGTTGAATAGTGTGGATTTGTCTGTATTTTGCAAGAAAATATAATATAAAATACATTCCATCCAATTCCTCATCTTCCTTTACGTCATAATAGTAATCATTTATTAATTGATGGGTTAATGAATTTCTTCAAAGCAATAAAAACATTATGTCCTCTCCATCCTAAAACACAGATAATATGTTTAAGACGTGTCAATCCCTACATCTCCCTGATGCATAATGCAATTACTATGAACATTGACAAAAAAATATGAAAAATGTTTCACAGATAATGGCTTTTAAGTCCAAAAATCAAAAAAACTATTAATGTCTATTGTTTGTCTATTTTTCTTTTTTGACTGGTGGGGATATCTATCTGACACTCGCAGGGTTGCCAAGTCTAACGACGATCACGTACCGTGGTGGAGGGTGCGTAATGAATCTTTTACATTTGCTGGTTTTGAATTTTTTTCGTGAAAATTTACTAGGTATCAAGATTATAAGCATCTTTGGTAGATTGTTCGATACGGAATGGGAAATATCTCCTATTTATGAAAATATTTTTGGTATCATCTAACCGTTGCAATCAGTGCACAAACACTGACATATGATTTATAGCATAACCCGCTGCCCTATCAATACAAATTTAACATACAGGTCGCCTAGCCGTGGGGATGCAGTTGTCGGGATGAATATCACGGCAGCAACTGATGATTTGGGCATGTCTGGTAACAACGTATGAAGTGAAACTCGCTAGCTTCACAAATTCGAAGATTTTGTACAATTTCTTTGAAAATTATGAAAGATATGTCTGATTTGGCAGGGTAATGTCGCAGCCAAATGGCAGTCACTCTTTCTGACACAGTCCGGATCGAAAGATGACGATACTCGTGAAAAGTATTGAGACTTCTAAATATAGGATCGTATCGAACATCCCTACTGTCAAGATGTATAACCCAAGGTACCGACGGAGCTATTTTGCGACGTCATGGAAATAATTTTAAATTTTCATTTGCATTTTTTCAAGTGTTGTGCAATGATTTTGGGAAAAATGTCACAAATAGTCTTATAAAGCATAGTAGAGTATATTTCAACAGTTGGCGGAACTTACTCTACTGGGACGAGGAAGGTGAAACGGGATATTAATGCACAATCTGGCAACCCTGTCGCACCCTCTCAAAATGGCCGCTGACAACCACACCGTGTTGTCATTGAATAGCATGGAATTAAACCTTCAGAGTATGTTTTGTGACTGGTACCAACAGTTGACAGATCTCACACATGTCACTCCTTGAAATGCAATAATCAGCTGTATTCAAATAATGTCTAATATAAATATAACCTAGAATGTGTACTCGTGAAACAAGAAAAGTATGGCAAATTTGTAGTTTTTTTGCAGGTTTTAGGTTTGCTGGTAGTTTTAAGGCATATATTTGGGAATTTCTGATTGAATGTTTGGAAACGAGCAATATCTTTTGGTAGAGCCTGTCATCAAGTAGGTGCTTAATGGCTATCTGCAACAGGTTTATAGGAAAAAACACCCAGTATCACATATCAATTGAAGAAAATAATATAAACATACAAATACAATATCAGTATCGAATTCATTAGGATTCGCTTCGACGATTTCGGTGATTAGAGGGTCAATAGTATTTTCCAGCATATCCAAATACAGTTCCCCGGTTAAAGTTTGTTCGATGAATAGAGGCCCCACAATATGATTTAACCAATATCCCAGCCCAAACGTTAATTTTTTGTGGATATTGAGTATGAGTTCACGGAAGACGTTAGGATTGGTGTCACTCCAATAACGACAATTTTGTCTATGCACATTACCGTTGAGAAAAAATGTACGTAGTCGTGCCATAAGTTCTGTCCCATGATAATCTCATGATAAAAA